TTTTTTTCGGTTTCGTGCGTGGTTCTGTTCGCCAAATGGTCGAGGATGCTCCTCGAAGGTCCTCGCCGAGAAAAAAATGCACACGTCCGAGCGATGCCAAGCCCATGAATTTGGCGCGGGGTCGCCAACTCCATGGCTCGGGGGAGGTGCCCTCCCCAAAATGCGGCCGGCTCCGCCTCGTTCGGTGGCCCGGGCCGTCTCGTGTTGGGTCGGGGTAGGTAGGCCCTCTGTATGAGCCGTTGCACGGGTGGGCCCATCGAGGGATGGATGGGTGGGCTCATGTGAGTGTTGGCATGCATGGGCGCGTGCGCTAGCCTGCTTCTAGGCATCGGCTGTTCTGTGGGCTCTCGTTTCGATGCGTGCGATGAGGGAATGGACTCGCTCAAGATCTGCACGTCACAGCAGCCAGCGGCTCCGCCTCACATTGCGACCTAGTTCCCCAGGCAATGGTTACACTTACGGGCTCTTGCTCGCGTGTTTTCAAACATCTGACGGTAGAAAGGCTCCGTGGTAGCCGTCGCAGCCCTTGCCGTCGCTCGGACGTCCATTTCCCGCGCATTGTTCGGTCTCGCGCGTGCTTTTTTGTTGCTCGATGGTCCAGGATAGTCCTCGATGGCCCTCGCCGAGAAAAAATGCACACGTCCGAGCGATGCCGAGGTACAAGAGGCTCCGTGGCAGCCGTCGCCGACTCGTCGCCGCCCGTCGCGCCTGGGCCCGTCGGGCGCTCGGGCGGCCTCGTGGTCGCCGCCTGCTCCCTCGCCGCCTCGCCGCCGCCCGTCGTCCGAGCCCGCCTGGCGGTGTGGCGGCTCCGTGGTCCCCTCCCTCCTCCTCCCTCCTCCTCCTCCTCCTCCTCCTCCTCCTCCTCCTCCTCCTCGCCGTGTGACCGCCGCTGCCGCCGCCCCGCCATGGATGGTACAGCAGAGACTGCACCGCACCTCGGCCCCCGTGCCACGGGGCACGGAGTGGGCGTGTCCTCGGGTCCTTTTGCCCAACCCCTGGAGCCTCAATGCCCAATCCTCGAGTCGGGCGTGTCTCCAACAAAGGGGATTTTCGACGAAACGTAAAACATACGCAAAAATCCGAAATGGTCAAAAAGTACTCCATACATAATCCCCATACTATTGTTGGACTATTTATGGATATTCCCCCTGTGCATGGACAGGCCCGACTTAACCCAATCCTGACAAGTCTTTCAGGAAATCCGCCCCCAAAATCTGCAACCGTGCGCGGCTCCTCGGCGAAGTGCTCTCGAACGACTGGATCAGGCCCAAGAAGAGGGCCCGAATACGAGCCAGGAGGGCCCAGCAAGGTCCAAGAGGGCCCCGCGTCGCCGAAAGATCGCCCCAACACCCCAGGAGGCTTCCAGGACGCCCCAAGAGGCCTCCAAGAGGATTCCCAAGAGGGCTTTCAGAAGCAGCAGTCGCTTATTTCCGGAAGTTGTTGAAATACCCTGGCGTTTTCGCCTTGTTGGCTTTCCAGCACACCCAGGCAGGCCAAGAGTCCTCAATACCATCCCGAATCGGCTCAAGAGGCCTCCAAGAAGGCCCACGACGGTCTAGGTGCGCCCCAAGACTGCCCAAGAGGCGCCCAAGACGGTCCAAGAGGGCCCCAAGACGGCCCCATAGGTGGCCCAAGAAGGGAAACACGAGCCGAAAATCCGAGCCTTCCGCCCAGAGGCCCCCAGGAGGCGCCAAAAGGCGCTCAAGAGGCCGCCAAGATGCCCGGGGAGGCCCACAGGAAGCCCGAAAGAGACCCCGAGTGACCCGAAACGGCCCCCAAGATGCGTCCACACTGCCCCAAGAGGCCTCCCACGAGGTCCCAACGAACATCCAATAGGTTTCGCACCCACGCCCGACAACTCAGGCAACGGCCATTAGATATTGCACCACATAGATTGCGCCGCGTGGACGGCACCACACAATGCCCCCCCTGTGTCGGCACAACTTGCGCCGCCACAGGCCGCAGGAGGTGCAAATCATACTCAAGCAGAAACTGCGAGGCACACCATTAAACCTCGCGGGGGCACATACATCGACACTCTGAGCGCTTGCCCCCCCGGCGCCCACGTTGACCTCGGATTTGCGCGCTAAGGCCGCCCCCCGCTGGCCGCGCGAATGGCCAGGGAGGGCCCCGAATCCCACAGGCCCTTCGGGCGCAAGCGGCCCCAATCATGAAATACTCCAACCCCCTCCTTCCGCTTCGTGGGAGGTTTGCCCCTCACGCTCCAGCTTCTCCTGGGCCCTGACGGGGAGGGGGCCCCACGCGTCAGACCCTCCACCCCCTCCTCAGCCGCCCCCTCCATCCCCCTCCGACCTCCTCTCCCTCGTGGGCCACTGTTACCCGAAGTCCTCCTCCACTTCCCCCTCTCGGGAGCGGCCAAGAGGGGGGTGTCCAAGAGGGGGCGGGGCAAATCATGGCCGGCGGCATGTGCGCGGCCCAGCGGGGGGGCCAGGGACGTAATGAAATAAGAAGAGGCGCCATGAGATCTGGGAAAATATCATGGCCCGCGCCATGATATCCACCCCCCCCTAGTCATCACCCCCCTCTTTTCCGCCCCCGACCCTCCGCCTCCTCCTCCCGCGCTCCCCCCCTGACCCTCCCCATTCCCTCGTCCCACACTCCAGGGGAAACGACGATTCTGGTCGCTCCCGGGGCACTCGAAGGCACACCGGGAGGGCAGCCACTGCTCCCGGGCGCCATGACTTCTTCACAACGTCGACCCCGAGAGGTCTCCACCTATCCCCGGGATCGGGCCCTCGTCCTGAGTCGTTTTTTGGGTGGCCCCGAGGGCCGGCACGAGGGCCCCAGCGGACGACAATACGAAAAAAAGGCCTCCCGCCGTGACACTTCTTCACGACTTATAGGGGAACAAAAAGTCGCATAAACATGAAAACTCAGAGGTCCGCGCGGATTTCTCGGATCCGCGCTGAACCCCCCTCCCTGGCGCGCGGAGCGCGCCAGGGGCGGCGCCGGAGGCGCCGCTAGGGCTAGGGGGCTCCAGCGCGGATCCAAGAAATCCGCTCGGACTTCTGAGTTTTTACGTTTATGCCATTTTTCGTTTCCCTGGACTCGAGGGGGCTGGGGGCCTCGGCGCTTTTTCTCTAGACTCGAGGGGGTTGGGGGCCTCGGCGCCCCCCCCCCCCCCCGGCCGGGCGGGCCCCACGGCCACGAGGAGGCCGAGGACACGCGGGGATCTCGGGCCCCCCCCGTCTCGCGGGGGCCCCGCCCTCGCCGCGCACACGAAGCAGGGAGGCCGGGAGCGGACCCGGGGGGGGGAGGAGGAGAAGGGGCCCGCGCGAGCGGGAGGGTGGCCAGCATCGGGTCGGGCGTGTCCTCCTACAGGGGGATGTTGAACAAAAACCTTACATTAATAAAGACACTCCAAACTTGGTAACACCTATATACTATATTATATTGTATGATATTATATTATATTATGTTATATCATATTGTATGGTATTATACTAGAATATATTATATTATAATATAGTATAGTATAATATAGAACATTATAATATATTATATTATATTATATGATATTATATTATATCATATTATATCATATTATATTATATTATATTATATTATATTATATTATATTATATTATATTATGGTATATTATATATACAAATGTATACATATGTATATGTATATATAGGTCTAACCGACCACATCTGATCTTTGGCATACCACGATATTTTTGAATATTCCTACTGCAGAGGGACGTGCCCGACTTATGGCCAGCAGCGGGAGCAGGAGCAAACCAGGAGCGGGAGAAGGGCAACTGCAGCCCCAGCGCTGCAAGTGCGCAGCGCGGGGGGCCAGGCGAGCAGAACGCGCATGCAGGCCGGAAGACCTGCCGTGCCTGCGGAGCTCGTGCCCCCTTGCCCTGGCCCTCCCGGCCCCCCGCCGCTGAGGACCCGAGGAGAGAGCATGCTGCCGCGCATGAGATGACTTGAGCAGGGACCGACCGTCCGGGCATTCCTATAGTCATACCACGAAATGTTCTAAGAACCCAAAAATGTTCTAAGAACAAAAAACATGTTCTTAGAACATAAACCGGATGCGTTAAAATACAAGACGGTCCCAGCCAGAAAAGTTCTAAGAACATTTCCTGGAAACCACAAAGGGTTCTTAGAACATTGTTTGGTATGGCTATAGGCACGCCGGGGCGCTTCGCCACAGCTTGAGATGAGTGCCCACGAGAACGGCCAATGAGAACAGGAGAGAAGAGGAGGCAGCGGCACAAAGACACAAACTTTTGGCGCGCGCCATGGGGCGGCGGTGGAGGCGCCGCGCGGGGAGGCCCGGCACGGATCCGAGAAGTCCGCGCGGAGCGCCGGAAACGTATGCCTGCGGATGCCACGCCAATGGACACCCGGACAGGCCTGTCGTCAAATCAAAATGGTGTTTAAAATATGGGAAAAAAGGCCTGCAAATGTTTGCAGCATATTTTTTACATGCTTCAAACAATGTGTTTAACACATGTTCTAGACATATGGAAATTATTTGGCAACATGCTTCCTCTCCATTGATCGTCCTGCACAAGCGTATGCTCATGCCGTGCTCTCTTGTTCGACAGAAGGCCACGATGATGCCGAGGGGGGGCTGGGCCCTGATTTTCCCCCCAGGAGAGAGCCCAAAGTCGGATCGACCAAGTCGCGAGGAGTCGAATCGGCAGAGCAGCAATGCCTCATCGAGAAATCGGAATCCACATCGGAATCCAAAGCCGAAGCGAATCGGCATCGGCAGCCATCGAAATCGAACCGCATCGAGTCGGAGCAGTCGAAACGAGCCCTGCCCCCCTGATTTGGAAGCTGGGCGAGGGCAGGAAACTCCGTGGCTGCTAAAGCGGTCTACCCGGAAAAAAAAATCCCGGAACCAAACTCAGCGCACTATAGTAAACGGGCTGCGTCTCGGACAAACAAAAAAAAATCCCCGCGGAGCTCCGTCTTAGCAGCCACGGGTCTGCCAGCCTTCGCCCGGCTCCTGGCGGATCCTTGGCGTACGCCTCCGCCTCCTCCATGCCCGGCACCTCCCGCCGCGGCGCCTGCGCCGCCGCCCCGGCGGCGTGCCCCTCCCCGGCGGGGGCCGAGGCGGGGCGCCGCCGCCGCCCGGCGCCGCCGCCGCACGGCACGCAGCCCAGCGACATGCAGCGCTGCCGCGCCCCGCGGCGCCGGTCACCCATCTTGCGCCGGGTGTGGACCCTGTCGGAGGGTTCTGTTCCCAGAGATCCAACGAACGGAACAAAGCATGCCGGAGGTGTTTTACAGTTTTCGGCCTCCAGGCGCCCTTACCGGGCCTCGGGACCGTCAAAAAACGACTCAGGATGAAAAACCGGTCCTGGGGAATGGGTCGAGACTGCCTGGGACCGCGTATTGAAAAAATCACGACATCGGATTTCTGGGTTGCTCCCATCGTGCACATCCCAAGAATTATTTCGAGCACCCGGGAAAGTGTAGAGAAAGTGGCAAAAAGTGTCGAAACAGTGTCGAAACAGTGTCGAGCGAGTGTCTCCCAGGGCACGGCACGTGAAAACTATCGAGTTTCGGTGCTTTGTTGGTGCTCGAAACTCTTTCTGGTGATCCAAGCTAAACTCAAGTTGAACATCATAATCGGAGGGGCAGAAAGCTCCCAGACATGCTCGCGTCGTACAGGAAAACTCTGGGCGGATGTTTTTCACTATTCTCGGCCTCGCGAGCGGCCCTCGCCGGGCCTCGGGACCGTCCAAAAGTAAAAAACGACTCCGATCGATAAGAAAATCCACCGGGAACCCGGAACCCGGAAACCCGGAACCCACCGAAATCGGCCCGGAACCAATCCTGCAGGAACCGGGGAACCCGGAACCGGGAACCCGGGAACCCAGCCAGCTGCTACCAAAACCGGCGGGAAACTTTCGCCAAACCATTCCGTATTAAGACCCGTTCAGTGCAAGCACTGATTGGGGAACAGCCGGTCCGGGGGCGGGGGGCAGACTTCTTGGGGGCCGCGTCGTGAAAACAGCACCCGCGACGTCGGGGGGTCTGGCCACGGTGGTTTCCTCCATCCGGGCGGGGGCTCGTTCGCGGGCCGGGGGCAAGGAAACATCGCTCTTGAACGTCTGGGGCCGCACCTTGGAACAGAAACAACGCCACTGACTGCAGAAGCATTGGCAGCTCCGCGCGCAGCTTCCTTGGTCAGCGCTGGGCCCCGCTGGTAGCGCCACCTCCAGCCCCGAGCCAAGGAATCCGCGCGGAGCTGCGGAAAGGATACGGATGCTCGTGATGTGTTCTTGCTCGTCTCCGACCTGTCCCACTCGAACGCGCGGACGACGGCCGCGCGCTCCTCCTCGCTCCCGATGACGAGGGTCCGGGCCACCGAGGACGTACCCGCCTCAATGACGTCCAGGCCGAAGCCGCCGGAGACCCCCTCGCGCATCTCGAGCGAGAGCTCCCGGATGGCCTCCGAGAAGTTCAGGGACTCGTCCTTGATGGGCCTGTTCTCCACCGCCACCACCATCAGTTGGAGGCGGGGAGGAGGTGGATGAGGAGGAGTAGGAGGAGTAGGAGGAATAGGAGGAGGAGGAGGAGCAGGACCCCCTCCCCCTCCTACTGATGGTGGTGGCGGTGGAAACAGGCCCTCCAGTCCTCGCACTCGAGGCGCAGGCTGCGATGCATGGCGATCCGCTCGAAGCGCAGGGAGCCGTCCAGAGGATCTGCGAAGGCCTCGTCGTGCACGCCGACCGGCAGGCCCAAGTGGTGATCGTGCAGGCGGTTGTAGACCTCGACCTCCTCCGCTTTCGGCGCGTCCTCGTCGGGATCTTCGGGCGTGCTGGCAGAGCTGAGCATGGATGATCGGGAGGCTTTGAGGGCGGGATCCATCTCGGGATTGACGAAAGGTGCCCCCCCACCAGCGACGGCGGAGCCCGCGAGCATCCCTGGCAAGAGGGGGTGCCGGGACTGGAGGTGGGAGTGAGAGTTCGGTGGCTTTCGAGGCTTCCGAGGCTGGCACTCGAGCGTGCCCTGATCTAACAGCGCGATACTGAAAGGGCCCTGGAACACACAAAGAAATACACACAAATACCAGGATTCCCCATATCTGCCAATATTTTCTGGGTTTTTGTTTTCCCCCCCACTTCCCATATTTTCCCACATTTTCAGGGGAATCGACGATGAATCGTGTCTGTGTGTTTTTTCCCTCCTGAGATAGGAAAGATGCCGCCAGAAATCACGACCGAAGCCCTGGACCCCAAGCTCCTCTTAGGCGGCGCGCCCGGGGGGGGGAGTGAGAAGGGGCGGGCCTTCTCAGAAGGCTCTGTAGCCCCCGTGGCCTTCTGAGGAGTTGTTCGAAGCCTGCCCCGAAGATTAACAAAAACCTTTCAGAAGGCCAGCGGCCCTCTGAGAAGCCCCGCCGCCTTCCGAGAAGGCTTCTCGCCTTGGGGGGAAGGCGAGAAGGGGCGGGCTTTCTCAGAAGGCTCTGTAGCCCCCGTGGCCTTCTGAGATGTTTTCGAAGCCTTCTCCCCGAAGACATCGAAGACCCTCGCCGTCTTCTGAGAAGCCCCGCTGCCCTTTGTCGTGGGAACGCTGACACTTAGTGGGCCCAGGAAACGACAGGGCCGTTTTTGTAAACGGTTCCGTTTTGCCGTTCTCTGTTTGCCGGCTCCGACGCCGCATTTTCACGGGTTCCGTCGCCGTTCTTTTGCGGGCTTCCCGCTCCAGTTCCAATCCTGGAGACGTTCCTGTTGCCGTTTCCGGTCGCCGTTTCCATGTTCGAGGGGCACCTGTTCGGAAGCGGTGAAAAAAACAGCCCTGCCGTTCCCGGGGCCCACTAAGTAACAGGGGATATGTCGACCCCTATCCCAGGCTTCGTGGGGTTTCCGAATGGACCAGAAATTTGGGGCCTAACCCTGGGATATACGATGGGGGGGGGGTCCATTCTCGATAGGGGTGCGTCCGAATAGCCCCCTTGGGGTGTATCCCAGGGTTTTCCCATTCTTCTGAGCGGCCAGACTTTTCGGGCGAAACTCGGGGATTGGGGGAGAAACATCGCCCGCGACTGAGCGCTGACATGGACGAGGGACACGTGGACCTGGCGCGTGGGCGCCAGCTCTCCACGGATCGGAGGGCGCACCCCCTGTGCATGGCGCCAGTGCCGCCTCGCTGGGCGACGCGGCGCGCCGACGAAGGGGGAGGAGGAGGAGGAGGAGGAGGAGGACTCCTCCTCCTCCTTCTCCTCCTCCTCCCCCTCCTCCTCCTCCTCCTCCTCCTCCTCCTCCTCCTCAGGAGGAGGAGGAGGAGGAGCAGGAGCAGTCAGTACGAAAACGGGACCTGTCGCTAATCCACGTGCCCTGCATGCACGGGTGCTGAACAATGTGACTCTGCAAGAATATTGTCGTTTCCTCGGTTTTCCGTGTCCCGGTTGTCTGTGTCCTGGTCTCCGCGGGCCTGAACCTTGAACGGTCGGCCGTTTCTGGAACGGCAGATCGTTCCGCATGGGGGAGGGGCGAAGGCTTCTTAGAAGGAGGCTGCTTCTTAGGAGGCGCGGGCCTTGTCTGTCGAGTTCGGGCCCGCGCCTTCTAAGAAGCAGCCTCCTTCTAAGAAGCTTTCCCCCCTACCCCTATACCCCCTTCTGCAAGCCGCCGAGGCGGCGCTCAACGTTACACGCCGGCGGCGGAGTCGCCGCCGGTCGACACGACGCGAACCTATACTTGAAGAGGGACCGGCCGTCCCGGCAGTCCTATAGGCTTACCACGAAATATTCTCAGAACCCGCAAATGTTCAAATAACAAAAAACAGGTTCTTAGAACATACACCCGATGTGCTAAAACAGGAAGGTCCCAGCCAGAAAGGTTCTGAGAAAAAATGTCATGGAAACCACAAGAGGTTCTTAGAGCATTCTTTGGTAGGCACGCCAGGACGCTTCGCCATTGCTTGATCTCTCTGGTCCCAGGAACTCTCCTGGATGCGTGCTGGTCCGAAGTTCCGTCCTGGAATCGGCCAGGCGGCGGGCAGCAAACTTCCTCCCCCCCCCTTCCCCTGTCTCCCCGCCTTTCGCTCGGCACGACCCATGCCTCAATCCCCGTCCTCCTCCTCCTCTTCCTCAACCTCCTCCTTCTCCTCCTCCTCCTCCTGCTCCTCCTCCTCCTCCTTTTTCTCCTCTTCCTCCTCCTACTCCTCCTCCTGCTCCTCCTCCGTCGTCCTCCTCCTCCTCCGTCGTCCTCCTCTCCCTCCTCTCCCTCCTCCTGCTCCTCCTCCTGCTCCTCCTCCTGCTGCTCCTGCTCCTCCTCCTCCTTCTCCTCCTCCTCTCCTCCTCATGCTCCCCCTCACCGCCGTCGTGGTCGGGGGTGGCACTTTCGGCTGGATGTCTCGGGTCGTCCCAGCGCAGCGCTCCGTGGCTCAGGCCCGCGGGCCGCTCGCCGAGCGGCCTCACGCCGCCCCGCGCATCGCTCCACCAAAAGGGCCCCCGCCGCCCATCGGGATGGGCAACTTTTCCCCACCACCACTACCATACGTAGGACGGGGGAGGAGGGAGGATGAGGAGGGAGGTCCTCCTCCTCCTCCTCCTCCTCCTCCTCCTCCCTCCTCCTCCTCCTCCTCCTCCTCCTCCTCCTCCTCCTCCTCCTCCTCCTCCTCCTCCTCTCCTCCTCCTCCTCCTCCTCCTCCTCCTCCCCTCCTCCTCCTCCTCCTCCTCCTCCTCCTCCTCCTCCTCCTCCTCCTCCTCCTCCTCCTCCTCAAGCAACACTGGCACGAGCGGTTGCAGGGAGGGCACAGGGCTCTCCTCGCATTTTGCGCGCGACCACTCGGCCAGCCCCGCGCCGTCCCGAGGTGCTTGGGGTCTGCCTCGCCTCCCACGCGGTGAGCGTAGGCGTTCGAGGCAGCTAAAGCGGGGATGGCCTCCGCGCCTGCAGGACGACGACTCTGGAGCACGTGCGCTGGGTGTCATACACATCAGTGGAACGACGTACTGCTTCAAGAGGGAGGAGCATGCAGGAAGTGCGGGAGGCCTGTTAAACTGTTCAAGCCCAAGGGCCAGGACGCCAGCCAGCAGCAGCAGCAGGCGGCCGCCCTTGTCCAACCTGGGCCTAAGCATAAGGGCAAGAGCAAGCAGCAGGGAGGTGCAGGAGGCACTCCAGAGGGCGCCCTCGACCTGCTGAGCCAGACCATTGCGGCCACCACGGACCCGACGGTCAAGCGCGTCCTGGAGAGTCAGCAGGCGATTCTCGCCGCGCAGAAGCCCGCGGAGTCGGTCGTGTCTGCCGACGAGGCCGTGAGGAAGGCCTCAGGCGCGTGGAAGGACGCCGAGGCCAAGCACGCCCAGTCCGTGGACCAGGTGCTGCGATGCAGGGCTGCCTTAGCCAAGGCTGAGGCGCGCGAGGCGGAGTGCGCTCGCACTTTGGCTCAGGCGGAGTTCAACAAGCAGATCGCCATCAAGGCCCTCGCCAACGCCTCAGGCTTGCAGGTGCAGGCGGCGGGCGACGGCAAGGCCCCTGACAAGGCCGCCGAAGGCGACTGCTTTCGCGTGGAGGTTGATGAGTCCTTCTTCGCGTCCATCCAGGACTTAGAGTGCGAGGAAGGTGAACGTAAGGAGATCGCGGAGCTGGAGAAGCAGTTGCGCGACATGCAGACGGCAATGGCCACGAGGTCGTCCGAGGTGAAGGCGTGGGTCGAGCGGACCAAGGCCATGAAGGCGGCCATTCAGGAGCGGTTGCAGAAGAAGCGGAAGGTAGAGGCTGGAGGAGTCGCTGGAGGCGCTGAGGGCGGTGGCACCGCTGGCGCTGGCACGGCGACGGGCCCCGAGGTCGCGGCTCATGAGGGCACGTCAGCGCCCCCGCCAGCCGGGCCTGGCGCGAGCTCGGGCAGCAGCGGCAGTCTCTCGGAAGAGGCCTTGGCAGCGAGGGCCAAGCAGATCAGTGAGGCCAGGCTCGCAGGTGCTGACGCAGCGAGGCAGGTTGCAGCTGCGGCTCCCGCAGCGGCGAGCATGTGATGTTCGCCCGCGGCGCCCGCCCCTTTGGATGGAGGCGCCGCGGAGACCTGCCCTCGCAGCGCGTCAGCCGATGGCGCTGCGAGCTCGGCTGCTACATCGGCATCTTCAGCATCTACAGCATGTTCGGCAACTTCAGCGACAGCATCATCATCGGCGACTGGTCAGTCCACGAGCGCGAGTACATGTACATCGCATGGGTGTGGCACAGTGCTGGATGATGTTATTTCTTCAAACGATGGTGGCAGTAGCACTGGTGATTGCAGTACGCTCTTCTTCTCGAACTGCACTTGTCTTGGGAAGAAGGCATGGGGGCATATCCAGTCGCTGGTGTCAGGGCAATCTGATAATTCAATAGACTTTTTCGGGTTAGTGGAGACACACATCGGAGATTCGTTGAGCAAGCGGTGGGCCACGAAGTTCCGCAGCAGCAAGCTCAAGCATGTGTTCAACTTGGCCAGGAGCACGGGGCTTGGCAACACCGAGGCCAAGCGTGAGCGTGCCAATGAGGGAGGTGAAGTTCTACTTTTTCGGCAGCATCTTCAGGTTCATCGGTTTCCAGTTTCGCCTGACGACGCGCCTGACTTATGCGCGGACGGTCATTCAGCTTACGACGGATTTCTTCCAGTGATAGTGCATTTCCAGTCGTACTCCCTGGTGCTGGTCCTTGTGTACGGTTACCCGTCAGTGGGCATGAGGTGCGGCACCATCAACTATCAACGTTTTCATCGGTTAGGTGGCTTTCTCAATGCGCTGCAGTTACCTTGGCTGTGCATTGGAGATTTCAATATGGCAGCAGAGACTCTTCAGAAATCTCATTTCCTCGCGCGGGTCCATGGTAGGATCCGCAAGTCAGAAGCAGAGTATACGTGTACGACAGCGAAGGGAGCCTCGCACATCG